CTCTACAGCCTGTACTGGAAAACAGGAAGCTTGACCCAATGTTCCTGCAAAGATCCTCACAAAAGAACAGAGAGTTTATCTCTGACCATACTTAGGATTTAACTAGGATTCTTAGAACTATGCTAATAAGTATTAACTATATAAAGTTTGCTCTGAGATGTACTTCGAAAACAGGAAACATCTTGACCACTTACATAAGCCCATTGTCCAACTCACATGAACTTAATGAACCCATAACCACTCAGCTCTTCCTCACACAACTAGTACAAATAATATCTATATGTGAAGTACATACTGTTCTATTACATATTACCTCTGGAATCTGGTTTATTGCTAACCACCACAGTAGCAATCCCAAGCGATAGCAACATCAGGAAGAAGTAACACTAGAAGCTCGAGAAATACCAAGGGCTGAAAGAAGAGCTAGAAAAGATGTGGAAGGTGAAGACACAAGTGGTCCCCGTGGTAATAGGAACATTGGGGGCTGTGACCCCCAAACTGTAATGTAATGTTTGTTGAAGAAAGTTTTTATCCAGACACAGTGCAGTGAAGTACACATTGGCATATGCACGCTGGATTTCTAAAAAAATATGACCACATCTCACAGACATAAAACTGTTCCCTTATAAACACCACACGAGAGGAAAACTTTGATTCTGTGGGTTTTCAAATACATGTGCTTGACACAGCTGTTGTGTTTCTTCCTGCCCTTTGGGCCACACAGCTCGCATCGCCTCCTCATTTTTCGACATCCACATTTGTCCCCCTGTAGGCTACAGGCAGGCTCTAGAGCTGTCTGTGTACAGACTGGCTGATGGTCTTTCTCATCCTCTTTGTCAAATTCACTGTCAGACTCTGAATTGACAAAGACATGACTGTAAATTTCAGGATATTCCTCATCTTCTAAACTGGACACTCCCTTCGAACTAGCTTGTCTGTTGTCCATAATCAGACCTTCCATACAGAAAACCTTCTTGCTGTGCCACTTGCCTTATAAATACTGATAAAGAGCCACACAAACAACTCTATTTGTCTGGTGGCGTTCACCCAGTTTACAGTGAAAACCAGTGTTGTACAGATTCCTGCATGATGGAGAAAATCTCAGATTTCGAAGAGTAGCTTGAACAGTCAGTTGTCTTCTTAAACATACTGTACTTATTCTGGCCAGAGAGCATGGAATGAACATACAGAGGTGCCATGTTGTAATCATACTCAAGAAACAGCTGATAGATCTTAAACCCACTTAATGAGAGCGGAGACCTTGGGAAGCTCGACATTCGACCAGTTAAAGCCAGCTCCCCCATATATACACACATGCACACAGAGCTCAGGGTATTGGTTGAGACAACACCTCACACATGTCCTCAATCTTCCTTAGTAATGGATCTCAGCATCCCTTAGATTCTGACAGAGACGGAACATATCTGTATCGTAACTCACTGGAATCATAAAGAGTTGTATAAAGCATCCTGTGCGAATTGTGAATTTCTCCCACGGTGCAAAACACAGAAATATGACATTGCTGCAACCTGTTGTGTGTCAATGATTAGTTACTATTGCGTGTGTGTGTGTGTGTGTGTAAATACTGTATGTGCAGGTGAGAGAGACACTGTTCAAGGATGAGGATATTTTTTGGAGGTGGTGTAGGGATGACATGGAAAAAATCTATTATTACCATCAATGTAATATACAGTAAATGTGTAAGGGGACATACAGGATGTGTTCAAACAAACTTTTTTTAATCATGTTCATTGAAAATGAGCTCAGGTAAATTCACAGGCTGAAAGAATAATTCATTGACCCCATTTTGTTTTACTAAACATTTAAACCAGGTCTCACAGACCTGAACATCGCATAATGGTTAAAATACATCATTTGAATGCTTGTCTGCTTCCTCTGGAGATGCCAAATATTTACTGTATGGACAGCAAGGCAGCTGTTGCTTTAAGTGACATTTTCCTCTTTACATTCTACTAACTGTCAGCATTTTTCTCTGTCATAATGATGGAGGGCCCGGTTCTTCATTATGCTAGCAATGATTACAGTGATCTATACCATTAGCAAATAAATGAATGCTAGGGGGAAAAAAAATATCCTTTTACAAAAATGCCATCAGATAAATGTTTAAACTAAAGCATCTCCTAACAAGTCTTTATAGTTAAAGCAATCCCTAGTAAACTGAACACCTTACAAAGACCTTAAACATATATGGTGCAGTAGTTTCTTGTAGATCAGACAGTTTGTGTTGTAAATATACAGTAATTTGCACAAATAATATAATTATGAATATTGGAGCTTTTTCTGAGCAACATTATGGTTCCCTGTTTGCATTTCATTACAAGTGAGCAAAGAAAAAAATGAGGCAATGTGACATTTCAAAATAAGCTTAGACTAGCACAAACAAGAGAACTGCCTTTTTGTACACACATTAATGGGTGTCTGGAGTTATACATTTCTTTTTGAGAATGACTTAGTGTGGTTTACATCTGACTAAGTATGCTTACATTTTAGTGAGCATTGACATGTGTTAAGCAAATTTTACTTAGGGGAAGGTTTTGAATGATGAATAATTATATCACACAGTTCCTGGCATCACATTAATCCATTAGTCAACACGTATTCTCTGGATATGAGTGAGTGTCAGTGATTATGTAGTCAGTATCCCTTTACCTTTTCTATTCCTCTGCCATTTATTCCACTCCTCCCTCTCATCTCCTCCCTTTACAAAAACCCCACCCCCCCCCCCCCTCTTTACTATGTGAAGCCACATGATCTGAGTCAGCAGTCTTTGCTCCCTCTGAGGGAACTCTCTTGAGTTTATGCTGTTAGTTCTGTTACAGGAAGTGAGTCATGCTGGTCAATAAGCAGTCCTGAGTTATCATGTTTCAGGTGGTCTGGTACAGGCAAACAATCTGTCTTGTTTTATTTGTTACTACAGTGTTTGTCTCCGTTTTAATTCAGGTTTTTATCCCAGTGACTTGCTGTTGGCAAATTTGCTGGAAACAAATGTATTGAGCAACACTCAGGCACAGCCGCACATTTTCACCGATTTCTGCATGCTCCGTTGAGAATAACCAGTGTCACCGCTGCCGTCCACCTGCATGCTCTATTTGATAGAATCCTGTATGTGTTTTGTGCCTTGAACAAGATTTCATCTAAAAAAAAAGTGCTGATATAGTTGCTGCTCACCCTTCCTGGATTCTTTCAAAATAATAGAGCAATGCATTATTTTTAAGAATAAAACATATAGTTCAAGTCCTGCATACTTTACTGCTGCTTTGCAACTGTATTATCCCAAAAGGATATATATATTTTTTAGAATTATATGTGGAATATTTATGTATTAGCTCACATAGTCTGACTTTACTGCATTGAAATTGAGGGCATAAATTCTACTGTCTGCTGGGACAGGAAAAATGGGCAAATATGGAGGCTGATAGTTTTGAGCTTTTTTTTTTCCTTGAAATTTTTTTTTATATTTTCTTTTTTCTTTCTTTAGTGTAGCATCTATTTTTTTCTCCTCTCAGTTGCATCAAAGGAAGCACAAGGCCATCAAATCCATTCTCTTCCAATCTATCTCTTCTCGACTGCATGCTTTAACAACGAGAATAATTTATGATCTGGTATCATCCTTTTACACCCATGCACAGACATGTGCACATGAAACCTGCATTAAAATGAAAAACAAAAGTTGTTTGGCTAAGAATAAATAGCCATTAAAACAAAAGTGTGAGTGCATGCAAATTTCTCCATATGTGCATGGCCATTAGTGTGCACACTTCACACACTATGAATTTTCAATGCAAGTCTGTAAATTTTTTGTGTGCAATATGCTGTATTATCTAGATACCAGTAGAATGCTTAATTGGCCAATTCAAGTGTCAAAATGTCCCTTTTGACCCGAGTCCAGCCCAAAGCTACACTGCAT